AGGGGTTTGAGAAGTTGTCGACTGCAGTCTTCGAGTTTTTGGCAGGTTTCGGTGGGAGGGGACGGAGGGGGGAGGTGCCAGCAAGGGGGCCAGGCCAGGAGAGGCGCAGAAAAGGCAGCCAAAAATCGTGATTTTTGGGGCCTAAGGTACGCCCCTTTTGCGGGATTTTGGTGTAAGGAGGTCTAAACCTCCAAACCCATCGAATCGAGACCCATCCAACACGCCGCCAGGGTCGGCGGACCCTAAACCCTAAACCCTAAACCCTCACCCTAAACTCTACACTCTTCACCTGTAGTTTCCTTTAACAAAGAGGATCCTTTTTCGGCACTTATCGGCTTACGGTTTAGGGCTTAGGGTTTAGGGTTTAGGGTTTACCCCAAACCCCAAGCCACACTCCCAGAAGCCTCAAACCCCAAAGCCTCCAAGCCCCCAGACCCCCCAGCCCCAAACCCCTAAACCCTAAACCCCAAACCCAACACTCCAAACCCTAAACCCCAAACCCAACACCCTAAACCCTAAACCCTACGCCCTAAACCCTAAACCCCTGAACTCTACACCCTAAACTACACAAACCCTACACCCTAAACCCTAAACCCCTGAACTCTACACCCTAAACTACATAAACCATACACCCTAAACCCTAAACCCCTGAACTCCACACCCTAAACTACATAAACCCTAAACCCCAAACCCCTAAACTCTACACCCTAAACTACATAAGCCTTGGCCCGGAGAGCCCAATACCCCTTGAATAAGGAATTTAGGGTTTAGGGTTTAGGGTTTAGGGTTTAGGGTTTAGGGTATGGCTTAAATTATAAGGGGCTTCATGTTATGATTTAAACTATACCTTAAGAACCCGAAACCCACTTTTTTGTAGGTTCCTATCATAAACCCTAATACGGGATTTATAGGGACCCTACAAAAAAGTAGGTTTTGGGTTCTTAAGGTATTTCTTATTTTAGGGGTATTGGGCTCTCTGGAAAACCCCCCTGGTATGGTCCTGGCAAGGCCGCCTCCGGAAAGATGCAGCGAAGCCTCGGGAAGATGACCCGTGGCTCCTTCTTTTGGGTGTTTTAGGGGTTTGGGGTTTAGGGTATAGGGGTTTGGGGTTTAGGGTTTAGGGTTTAGGGTATAGGGGTTTTAGGGTTTGGGGATTTATGGGGTTTGGGGGTTAGGGTTTAGGGGTTTAGGGGTTTTAGGATTTTAGGGTTTTAGGAGTTTGGGGTTTTAGGGTTTAGGGGTTTTAGGGTTTAGGGTATAGGAATTTAGGGGTTTTAGGGTTGTAGGGGTGTAAGGGTTTAGGGGTTTAGGGTCTAGGGTTTAGGGTTTAGGGTTTAGGGTTTAGGGTCTAGGGTGCGTTCTGGAGAACCATACCTTAATCGTGTTTTGTGGGACCTGTTCCGTAACGGAACGATTATGAAATAAAAGTCTATACTTTTTCTTTGCCATAGTTGGGTAACATCTTAGATGTTTGCGGCCACTTAGGGTTTAAGGGTCTGTAAGGGTTTAGGGTTTAGGGTATGGGCTTCCATATGGGGGTTTCCGAAAATAGGGGACCCTAATATAGTACCCTAAATAGTAGGATCCTTATTATAAGGACCCCCAAATAAGGTACCCTAATTTTCGGAAACTCCCATATTGTTCGTAATAGCGATGCTGAAAGTTTAAGTGTGAGGAGGGGGTACAGAAGTCAGCCAACCCTAAGCCCAAAACCCCAGAAGTCCGCCTAAACCCTAAACCCTAAACCCCTAAACCCTAAACCCTAAAACCCCTAAACCCCTAAACCCTAAACCCTAAACCCTAAACCAAGGATTGCAGCTTCCGGGAAGGCGTTGCTTGACTCCGACACTCTCGGCGAAGCAGGCCTCAAAGACAATGACGCCATCACTGCTGTGGTGCACTAAGTGCTGCTTCTTTACCGGCCCCATAAGGGAGTTTCCAAAAACTAGGGTACCTTATTTTGGGGGTCCTTATAATAAGGATCCTATTATTTAGGGTACTATATTAGGGTCCCCTATTTTCGGAAACCCCCTTAATAAGGGACCTGTAGCGCCAACCAGAAGAGCTTCATGTCGAGTAGAGCCATCTTGTTCATGGTTCCTTACAGAGCACTAAGGTGGTGCAGAATGTGGCCGTTGCAGCATCAGCCTCTGCATTTGCAGCGATCCGCGCCGATGGAACCGTGGTGGCATGGGGAGATTCCCGAGCTGGCGGAGATTGCAGTGCGGTTCAGGAGCAGCTGCAGAATGTGCAGCTTGTCATCATAGGGACCCTTAGGTCAATATTCCCTACTTAAGGTAGTATAGTTCCCTAACCAATATAGGACAACATACCCCAAAGCCCTATTCTAATTATTAAGGGCCCTAAACCTTAAACCCTTATAGGGCCCTTCAGGGAACCCTGTATTGTGATGTTGTTGCACGGGAAGTACTACTTGACTTTCGGGTTTGAGGGTTTAGCTTGGGGTTCATGAACCTGGCAATCCGAAGCCACTTCCCTTGCTTCTTTCATTCCGAACCCTAAACCCTAAGCCCTAAACCCGAAACCCTAAGCCATAAACCCATACGCCCTAAACCCTCAGCTCTAAGCCTTAAGCCCTAAACCCAAAACCCTAGGCCGTAAACCGTTTTAGAAGCCTTGCAACGCACTTAAAGCGAGAAGAGAGCCTTCAACAGCCCTCTAGCGCCATTATAACAAGCCTCCTGAAACCCTACTTAAAGGATCATGGGACTTAGTAACTGAGGTTATAAACAAGGTAAGTATACTTATGACCCCATTTAGGGTACTTATAACCCTACTTACTAAGTCCCAAGATCCTCCAAGTGCACCTTGAACCTGATCGACTCCTCGCAAAACACCTCGAAAGAGCTCTCAGCCTCTGGACTATTTAGGGTTTAGGGTTTAGGGTTTAGGGTTTAGATGCCGTATAAACTTCTAGACGAAGAACCCCGCCGAACAAAGCCTCGAGCACTAGTCAGCAAAAGCAACCCTCAACCAATAACCCTCAACGCCAAACCTTAGTCCCAGAACCCTAAGAACGCCAGATCCTGAACATCAAATCCGAAACATTACCCTAAACCCTCAACTTTACGCAAACTGCCGCACAAAATAGCAAGGCAGAGCATCCGTGCTGCGAGTTTTTCTTTCGCTGCCATCCGGGGTGATGGGTCCGTGGTGACCTGGGGCGACCACCGTGGCGGAGACAGCTCCCACGTACTCCGAGGAGATTAGGCTTAGGGTTTAGAGTTTGAGGTTTAGGGTTTGGGCTTTAGGTTTAAGATTTAGGGTTTAAGGTTTGAGGTTTAGGGTGTTGGGGTTCTAGGTGTAAAGGTTCAGGGGTTTAAGGTTTAGGGTTCAGGGACTATGGTTGAGGATACAAGGTTCCTTAGGAACAGAGTAAGTAACCCTTAACGGGCTTTGAGGTTTTGGGGGGAACTTTGGGGTTTGGCGTTTAGGTTCTTGACGCTTTGAGTTTAGGTTCTTTCTGGTTTAGGGTTTATGGTTTTGGGGTCGAGGGTTTAGGGCTTTTGGGGTTTAGTGGGGTGTTTCGTGGTTTAGGGTGGGATCCCTAAACCCTAAACCGTCTTCGGGTAGTCCCAGCCCTAAACCCTAAACCCTAAACCCTAAACCCTAAACCCTAAACCCTTGCTGCGGGAGAAAGGGATCAGTGCACTTTAAAAAAAAACCCTAAACCCTAAACCCTAAACCCTTGCTGCGGGAGAAAGGGATCAGTGCACTTAAAAAAAAACCCTAAACCCTAAACCCTAAACCCTAAACCCTAAACCCTTGCTGCGGGAGAAAGGGATCAGTGCACTTTAAAAAAAACCCTAAACCCTAAACCCTAAACCCTAAACCCTAAA